CATGACTCTGATCCAAAGAGTAGCACTGTTAGCGAGATCTCAATTTCCAGTGAAAAGAACTACCAAGCCAGAAAGAACATGCATGCTGAGTCTTATACACTCCATTTATCAGCTGAAGAGAGTGGAAAAGGAGAAGAAGAATGTGGTTATTATATGTGGAGGCAGAAATTCCCAGTCAAGCCAGAGAACAGGGTTGATAAACGTGCTGAAATCGATGAATGGGTGATAACCCTGGCGTTTCCACATGGTCAGAGAACAGTCTGACTTCATCCTTGCATCATCAAGGGTGGCAATACTGTTCGACAGTCCATGGAACAAGGGAATTCTCAAGTGCGTTCCAAGTGCTTTCATGAATGCTCTTGTAACACTTGTGAAGTCCAGAGCTGATGCACCTGCATAATGTGTCTGCCATCAATGTTCAATTTCCTACCTGTCAATTCTTCATTGATTCCACTGCTTGAGCCAGTTAGGTCTGGCATAAAAAATAAGGTTCTCGCCGAGGATATAGTTCCATGTGAATCTTATGCTTCACAGAAGATATTCTGCAAGCCCAGTGAAGTTGCACGGCTTAAGCCAGCCTTTTGGACTATCCTTGGCAAAGCACGGGAATCTGGTGCAGATTTGAAGAGTCTGTCAACTCATGGAACCTACATTCTTAGTTCCCATTTTGACAATAGTAGATACAACAGTGTGCTTGAGTTTCTTGGTATCAAAAGCGTGAGCACTGAATGGTACGCAAAATGCATTGAAGGGTCTAATCTTGTCAAGGAGGTACATGAGCAGCTTTACTTGGAAATCTTATATTTTGTCGCGTGTAATTGGCAAAACTGTTTTTCTGGTACAAACATGATGTCTGTTCCCCTACTGAAATATGTTGATCGGAATGGTGTTCTCTCTTTTTGGAGCATATCCAGAGCTAGTCAACAGAATGATAGGTTATGCACTGCATCTAATATGAACTGTACATCATGGCTAATCAGCTGGAACAGGGAGTTTTCATCTTCTAATCGGTTCTTTCTCCATCCCAGCACACAGGCTACTCTGGATAGTTTCTCAGAGAAGATGACAGTGGAAAGCTGGCTTCGGAACCATGCAAGAATGGAGGTTGTCTCTGTCTACAGTTATGGATTGACTGTTGCTGCTTCCTTGAGTATTGATCGAAGGCCTGTCATTGCTTTTGCACACTTTCTGTACCACTCATTTAAGATGAATTATATAGAGAAGTACTGGTTATCAGAACTCTGCCATGTCATGCCGGTAATTGACAGCGGTGGCCATGTTGTCAAGGAAAGAAAAAGCATAATAGTTCCAGCCAATGGGAGCAAATGGGTTGGTTTGTTGGGTGCAAACCCATGGAGGGATAAAGGCTACATTGAATTGTCAGCAGATTACAAGTCAGTAGGCCATTTTGCTGGGAACTACACATCTAAGGATCAGCTGTTGGAATTTCTCAAGATGCATCTGCATGCCTCAGATGTGCCATTCATACACCCACCAAATGCGAGGTTCCATACTGTCTCATCGCCTCTCACAGTGGACAATGCATTCTTGCTACTGGAATGGATACGGAATATCGTCGTCGTCCGCATCCAGCGTCTCCAGCGCTGCGGAGGTAGGGGACACGAACTCGACGGGGACCTGATCCTTCTGTGGCAGTTCACCTTGCCACGGTACTGGACCTCCTTGGACTCGTGGCGTGCGCGGTGACGACATGGTTGTGGGCGCCGCCGATGAAGCCGATTCCCCGGGCATGGAACCCGGTGGTGTCGAGCCTGGTGGGGTCGGTGCCGCGCCTGGTGATGCAGCGCGACCCCCCGGTGAGGCTGTCGTGGAGCCGGGTCCTGCTGGTGTGGCAGCGACCGTCTCCTCTTCGCCTGGACTCACCCATTCATCCTCCACCACAAAACCGCCTTGCTCAACACTATTCATGATCTCTCCATTGTCGCCTTCGTCACATGCGCCCCAGTCCTAGGCCGCCCCTTCTTCAAACACCGCGTCGCTCGTGATATGCACACGGTTCGCAGTGGGATCGAGCACCCTGTACGCCTTTGATCCCTCCTCATAGACGATCAGCACCATCTTCCGGCTCCTGTCGTCCAACTTCCCGGCGTTTGGCTTTGTGACTTTGACATGAGCCACGCAGTCAAACACACGCAGGAAGTGGACGGCTAGCTTGACACCGTACCACGCCTCATATGGCGTCCGGCCCACCAGGCTCCGCGTCGGGGCTCGATTCAGGAGGAAGACGGCTGTCATCACAGCCTCCCCCCAAAGCCAAGCCGGAATGTTCTTGGCCTTCATCATGCTGCGCGCCATGGCGAGCACGGACTGGTTCCTCCGCTCCACCACGCCGTTTTGCTGGGGACTGTACGGCGCGGTCAGGTGACGCTTGATGCCGTGCTCGGTGCAGTACTCGAGGAAGCTCGCCGACACGAACTCCCCCCCACGATCAGTGTGGAACGCTTGAATCCGCCGCCCAGCTTCATTCTCGACGCCGGCGCGCACACGTTTGAACGCGTTCTCGGCGTCCGACTTGTTTGCGAGTAGGACCGCCCACATGTACCTGGACATATCATCGACGACGAGCATGATGTACTTCTTACCACCGGGAGTTGGTGGTGTCATTGCGCCGCATAGATCGCCATGGATCAGCTCCAGGGGCTTGGTGGCGCGGTACTTGGCCGCATGCGGGAACGGCACTCGACGCTGCTTCCCAGCCAGGCACGCGTCGCAGACGTGCTCGACGTGCTCGATGGAGCGCAGCCCGCGCACCATGCCACCGCAACTCATCTTCTGTAGGGCCTGGAACCCCAGATGGCCGAAACGAGCATGCCACCTCCACTCGTCGTCGTCGTAGCTTGCGGCCAGACGCACCGGCCTGGTCGGCTTGAGCGGGAGGATGTACAGGCGATTAGGCGTGCGCTTCACCTTGGCCAGCAGCTCCTGGCTCCCCTTGTCCCACATCCGGAGGATGCCGTTGTCGATGTCGATCTTGTAGCCTGTTTCGTCGAGCTGCCCGATGCTGAGGATGCTGCTGCGGAGCCGCAGGATGTAGTATACGTCATGGAACGCCCGATGACCGCCGTCCTTCGACTCGAACAGGATGGTGCCGCGCCCTGCTATCTCCACCAGGGAGCCATCCCCGAACTTCACGGATCCGATGACACCGTGACTGAGCTTGGAGAAGGTGGACGCATCACCGGTCATGTGATTCGACGCACCGGTGTCGAGGTACCACTTCAACTCTCCGAGATCACTGCCATCCTCCATGTCCGGCACGATCTTGCGTTCGTTGAGGAAGACATGCTCGACGGGCCCGTTATGTGGACGACCTTCTCCGTTGGGGTCACCACGGCCATGTACAGAGAGGCCGTCTCCTCCTCCGCCTTGACGAGGTTGGCCTGAGGCTGATTCACCTGCGCCGCCACCTCGTCGCGCTTCTTCTTCCGGCACTCCTGCTTCTAGTGCCCAGACTTGCCGCAGTAGTGGCAGGCGTCATCATCGCCCTCCCGGCCGTTGCCCCCTTTGGGTGGCCCTGAACGCATTTCCTTCCCGCGTTCCTTGCTGTGGCCCGTACCGCCGCGACGCTTGCCGGAGCCGGCCGGCACCTTGACGCGCCCCGTCAACCCGTCGGAGTTGAGGTTGAGGCGGGACGCGAGGTGCGCCATCACCTGCTCCTTGGTGAAATACAGCTTGCCGTCGATCTCCTTGCCTCCGCCGCCGCCACCCGAGCCTCCGCCGCCTTTTCCTCTCGCACGATCGAGCCGTTCCTCAACCGCCTTGAGCCGCCCCACCAACTCCTCCAGGGAGACTGCCTCGAGATCGAGGAGAGTCTCGATGGCCGCTGCAATTTGATGGAAGCGATCTGGAACGGCTTGAAGAAACTTACGGACGATCGTCTCTTCCTCGTAGGCGTCACCCAAGATGGCGAGCTGGTCGGTGATCTTGGTGATGCGATACGCGAAGTTGTCGACGGTCTCCCCCTCCTTGAATGTGAGGCCGTTGAACTCTTGACGCAGAGTCTGCGCCCTGGCCTTCCGCACCCGATCGACGCCGATGTGGCGTGTCTTCAGTGCATCCCACACCGCCTTGGCCGTGGGCTTGTTGGCCATCATCCCGCGGAGCTCCTCCGGAACCGCCTTGCACAGCGCCTCCAGGGCGTTGCGGTCGTCGGTGAAGCTGTTGGTGCCGACATTGATGGCATCCCACAGGTGCCTGCCCTGCAGCATGACGCGCATCAGCGCCGCCCAGTCGGTGTAGTTTGTTCTCGTCAGCATTGGCCACCCAGCGTTGTTGCCGAGCTCCTTGACCGTGCGGTGAAGCACCAGCCCACGATCATCCCCGCCGCTACCTCCAGAGCGGCCGCCGGGTGGAGACCAAGACCGCCGCCGCCGCGGCGACCTTGAGTTGTTTCTTGGCATGAATGTTGCGGTGATCGCTCGGTGACGATCCCAGCGACAAAATCGGGCTTTGATACCAGTTGTTGAACTAGAATCTCTCTCAATTCTCGCTGGAACGGACGAAGCCGCGTTCAAGCACAGAGACTGGGTTTTGGCGCAGCGCTCAAACTGCTGCTTTTCTTGTTTTCTCCTTTTTATTGACTCACACCATTACAGACTCGGTAAGGCCACGAACACCATCGCCCACGTCCGATCTTCTTGCTGCGCCATCCCACAGCCACGGAACGTGGGCGTCAATGCCGGCCAAGTTTCCACCACTCACGCACACTTGCATGGAAAGAAAAACGTGCACGGCGCTGAACTGGCCGCGCTCACCGCTAATCTAGGACACACCTAACAGAATACATGCAATGCAACAAACTTTATCACAACAATATCAAGTCAAATGGTGTAATTTTACCAGATCGATTCCTGGCTTCTGTAAAAGAAGGGAGTTGGCTAAAGACATCGGTTGGGTACAAGCCACCAAATTAATCATTTCTGTCCAGTGCTAACTGGGGAAGTCTTTTGCAAAGTGGAACTTCATTCATCGATATACCAATGATTGATCAACAATTCTATCGAAACAAGCTGCATGTGTACAAACAGGAACTCAAGGCAATTGGGGTGAGATTTGAATTTCAGGAGGCATCATCTTACATTGGAAGCCATCTCATGTCTATGGCTGAAAGCAACATGTTAACCAGAGACTGTGTGTACTCCTTGCTTCGGCTCATTCGGTTCCTACGAGAGAAGGTTCTATCTCCAAGTCAATTGATTGACAGTGTCAAAGGTGGAGGTTGGATGAAGAATACTCTTGGCTATAGGCGTCCTTCTGATTGTATCACCAAAGATTCAGAATTGGCAGTGGCATCTTGTATCAGTGACCAACCATTCCTTGATGTCGAGTTCTACGGCGAGGGCATCCTTTCATATAAACCAGAGCTGGAGTTGCTTGGTGTTATTATTGGGTTCAAAAACAATTACCATCTTGTTATTGATAACTTCAAGTTCAGATCCTCTGCTATTACTTCTGAGTCTACTGTATTCATCCTCAAATGCATCCTCTATGTTGGTTCTTGTCAAGATTTCATAAGGAAGCTCAGAGATTTGAAATGGGTGAAGACTAATGTGGGATTTTGTGCTCCAAATGTCTTTTTTCTTGTGGATTCTGAATGGGAGTGCTTTGTGAAGATCTTCAAAGGACTTCCAATAACTGATTTAGGATTTTATGGGAGTGTGATCAGTTCATACAAAGAAGAGTTGAAGAAGGCCGGTTTGATCACACGATTTGAGGAGGCATCGAAGGCTATAGCCAATGTTTTCAAGCGCATGGTATCTGAGTCATCACTTACGAAGGCTAATGCCTTAGCTCTACTACTAGCTTACCGGCAGCTGAGAACACACAGCCCACTTCCTGTTGAGCTTTTCAACTGCATGCGCACAGAGAAGTGGATACACACATCACTAGGGTTCCAATCTCCCTCAAATACAATCCTATTTGATAACGCATGGCAATATCTATCTCCCATAGCAATATTACCGTTCATGGATGATGGTGACACTTGTCATGGTTTGGGGAAGGAAATATACGGTTATAAAGATGAGCTTAGGGAGTTGGGTGTTACTATTGAAGTGAAATTTGGTGCCAGATTTGTCCTTGCTGGCCTCAGCATTCCTGATGATCCTTCCATTATGTCTAAAGCTACCATTTTGTCGTTTCTGGAGTGTATCAAGAACTACTTTGACTCTGCAACTCAACCCCCAAAGGGCTTTAAAGACAAGATTTCCAAGAAGTGGTTGAAGACATCCTTGGGCTACCAATGTCCTGATGAATGTATTCTCTTTGATGCAAAACAATGTTTTCTACACATGGAAGATGGCCCTTTCATCGATGAAGCATTCTATGGTTCAGAGATAGCTTCATTCAAACATCCCCTTGCGATGATTGGAGTGTCTGTGGATTTTTATTGTGCACAAGATCTTATTGCCCGGTATTTGAGGAACAAAACAGATACAGATACTATTTCCCGGATCTACATGTATCTGAAGAAATGTGACTGGAAGCCTGACAACAACAACAGAAATTGGATTTGGATACCAAATGAAACAGAGGGTGGAGACTGGGTGAGCTCAAGAAGTTGTGTTCTGTATGATAAGAACAATCTATTTGGCCTGCAGCTGCATGTTCTGGACAAATATTATGACAGAAAGCTGCTTGACTTCTTTTCACTTGCTTTCAGTGTGAGGCATGGACCTTGTTCTGAAGACTACTGCAAACTATGGGCCACATGGGAGAGTTCGGTCCACGAGCTAGCCATATCTGATGGCCTCGCTTTCTGGAAATTCATTGCAACGAACTGGACCAAGAAAACAGGGGAAATTCTTTCTGGTTGTGTCAAGGTTCCAGTATGTACTGATGGCAACATTATTTTTATCAAACAAGGAGAACGTGTTCATACCTGATGATCTACTGCTGGCAGATTTGCTCAGCAAGCATCCTCAGCAATCACTATTCATCTGGTATCCTTCTTCTGCTCTACCTTCCATGTCTCGAGCAAGGTTCAACCGCATATATGGTAGTATCGGTGTCAAGACAATCTCAAAAGCAGTCACCAAGAATGATTCCTTCACTTCAGCTAATAGCCGTTTCAAAACAGTGGTTCTGAGTAAGGTGATCAAGGTTGGGTTGCTCCAAATAGTCCTCGCATACCTTTCGAATCCTGCTTTTGACATTCCTGCTGAAGATAGGCACAAGATGGTTTCTTGCCTCCTGAATGTGACTATCGAAGAGACCGATGAACCGATCACAATGGCATACAGTGTGAGTTTGTCCTCTGGAGAGGTGGTGGAGGTGAAGGCCAGACGAATGCTTCGGTGGGAAAGGGAGAATTCAAAGATGTACATGCAGAGAACTGATGGCGTATCCAGATACGAAGACAAGATTGAATTTGCGACCTACTTTGCACATGAGATATCTCATGGGTTGCTGTTTCAGATGCCAGATCAGATATCTTTGCTCGCTGAACTCATAAAAATTGGCAGCTTACTGGACTTCGAGCCCCTGCCGCTGTTGCGTTCTTGCTGAAGTCGAAAAACCTGCAGCTGTTCCCTGAAGACGAAGATTTCCTGTTTCGTTCAAAAAAGATGAAGATTTCCTGAACTCATCACCGCTAGGTACACGTCCTGAAATCTACATTAGCATCTTGTGATTCTGATTTTTCTCAAAAGTACATCATTACATAATCTACCGATGGTCTGAGGCTAATTTCAATGCACAGGTGGCAGCAAAAAACCAGTGAACAACTAGCAGCCTGCAGATTTTATTCTTTTGTACTTGTTCAAGGTTAGTAAATTACTGTCTTCTCGTTCAAAAAAAGTAAATTACTGTCTTCAATACTTTACTGCCCATTTGCATCCATGTACTGTTTCAAGGCTGCACCAGTTTTTCTTGATGCAACGAAGTCTTACATAAGTTATCTTGTGCGCAGATTGCTGATGGCCTGCAATCCCTAGAAAAGAGTGTTGCGCTTGTGCCTGGAGGCTCCTGAATATCACCAACGTTGGTGTCTTCTATGATGCATATGTATCATCGTCAGTCTGCTATCTCCCTATTACAGTTATGGATTCAGTGCCTCCTGGTACAAAACATGTCAGTTGTTTCGGTAGTGTTAAATGACACCAAGTACTTGAATGAAGTGTTACTATTATTATCGTCAGTGCCTTGTGTGTGCTCCGTTGATTTATGGTCCCGCTACCTGAGTTGTGTTTGTTTGAGATTTGTGGCAGTGACCGTGATCTGTTAATTGCACGGTTTTTGCTTGTACTGGAGGCCAAATAGATTCGTTTCCGTCGGTGTATATGCTAGGCGTATCAGTTGCAGTCTTGCCGATGAAAGTTGTCATGCTTTTGTATCCAGGATAGCATACTGCTTGTTCTTTCACCTCTCCTGAAATGCACTACTAGATGTCAAACAAGTTTATTTGCCACAGCTCTAGAAGCATTGATCATCCTAAATTGGATGCTCTACTATTGCAACACATCGTCATTTTGTTTCTCGATTTTTGTTTTTTAGATAATGGCCGTGTTTAGCACTACTATGGCCGTGTATATGAATATCACCAGCATTCCAGCGACCGACATTTTGCACGTCAGTACTACTAGTACATGTTAACGACCGTTTTCTGAATATGTGAGGTGACGAGCTGGTGGCCACATCAACCCTAGCTCCAGCATCGGGAGCAATCCAGTACTAGTACGTCCTGCTGCTTTCGTACGTTCTAGTGACAGGCTGACAGCACACGGCAACAGTGGAAGACTGACCTAAAATACTGTATCTTGTTTAGTTGGTCGGCCCTGGATACTTTCTTTACAGACGACTGCAAAAGCTAGGTCGTCGACCTTAAGATTTCGAAGCCATGGTGATTTAAATTTCCAAGCTGCTATTAGAGTACGTACTAGTATGTAATACTCTTAGGAGTATGTAATTAGCCAGGTGATTTAAAGCTAGTAGAGTACACTAGTACAGAGACGGTCTTTACTCCTGGTGGGGAACCCCCTCTAGTCCCGGTTCCCCACCCGGGAGCAAGCATCCGGAACTAAAGGGGTCCTTTAGTCTCGGGTCAGGAACCGGAATTAAAGAATTAGTCCCGGTGGGTAACACCAACCGGGACTAAAGGTGCCTCCTGACATGCCACGAGGCCGGCACCCTTTAGTCCCGGTTAGTAATACCAACCGGGACTAAAGGTTATTTTTTTTTCTTTTCATTTTTTTGTTTTCTTTTCAAAATAGGTTTTCGAAGTTGTATTGTACGCTGCTAATAATACATTTATACGCGTGTATAGTATGTTTCGGTTCAAGCACAATGAACGTATTAAATGACACAATTCAAACATAGAACTATATATATATATATATATATATATATATATATATATATATATATATATATATGCATGCATCATATATATATATATATATATATATATATTTACATGAATGCATGCATATGTGTATTTTACATTATATTATTTCATGTGGATATATTACAAAAGATTGCATTACAGTTGTTATGATATAACAAGTTTTCTCTCATCCTCTAGATTGGCTTCCATGGCAGTGTTGGGTCGAAGTAGAACTCGCCCTTGGAATCGATGACCTGGTCATTAAAAAATCCGGCTATAGACTCTTGAATTGCTTTGAACTGGTCTTGCCGTATGACCTTTTTCTCCAACCATCGAGCCTACAGGTTTGAATTAAAGGAAAATAAATTAATATATATATATATATATATATATATATATATATATATATATATATAAAGACATAGTAACACAATCAATAATAATAATTAAATAAATATATAGTGTATTTTTAACGTACTTTGAGTCTCTCTGTAGGAGTTCTTTGGGAGACCTCCTTGATAAACTTGTAACCACAGTAGTTGTTCCCCTGTTCCTGCTTCAGACACCACTTTACGAGAAAAAGATTTGTCATTCAATCTTGTGATCCGGTGAAAGCTATATGTTTAATTAATAAAGATGATGCGATTTAGGGGACTTACTTTCAAAGGGATTACATTCAGTGGCGCTTTGCATTTTCCCATGTGTTGCTTCTCAATAAAGGTTTTCTAAACACTGCCCAATAAAAATTTACCACGTCAACATATATAGTTAATCATCATGTTTGTGTGTATATATAGTTGCTAGAGATACCGAAATTACCTATGGATAATATCTATCATATCTTGGTAGTCTTGTTGTGGTTTTCTCATCGAGTCATAGATTATCAAGTGACTTTTCTCCAGATCGATGTCCATCAATATCCAGTGATTGCTGCATCTTTTTATAGGATATAACGCATAACACTCATTAATTAACTAGAATCAACATATGAGCCATTAAGGATGATCGACATTATTAACACTCACTTGAAGTTGTAGGGAAAGAGTATATCCTTCTTGTGGCGTTGGTTCACTAAGAAGTTCATGAGGTTACTCTCTGACTCAGACTTCCAATTAGGCTTTGGAGTAACTGGGTCTTTGAATACTATATGGGGATCAACAAAACCAATTTCATTGCAGCCTTTCTTTCTGCGCTCTGTCATTGTAAATCTGCATATATATAGTACTTGTTAGGATAATTTATATGCATATACACATATGATGAGTTTAATAATAGATCAAAAGAATTATTACTTATAGGCAATAGCAGCTAATGATAACTTTGCCCAGAGAGGTCAGGTGGCATAGTTGATGAAATTCTACAAAGTCAACATACATAACATCATCGCCACGGAACCAATGTTTGTCTCTAATTCTGACACCAACGCAGAAGTCTCCACCGGTAGACGCCTGCATGTACCACTTGTTTAGCGGTGTACATTTAAGTCCCCAGATCACCTAAGGCTTGAGGGTTGTATAGACTACGGCCTAGTACAAATTTTTCTTCCAAATATCAACCTCCGCCACTCTCAATGTTTCCATCACCAAACATCTGGTAAAGGTCGAGACCAGTCTCTTCAATAAATTCACCAAGGTGATCCAAATCGACATCCGAAGGTATGTTTGCTGATGCATTAATCCTAAATTCAACCATATTCATTACCAACAACTAGCGGGGGGACTGATTGGTGCGATTGTTGTCCGAGTTGTGCAACTCCTTTCCCTGCCCACTTCTTTTTCTGTGCCGCCTCAATTGACTTGGTGAGAGTGTGGTCATAGTCCTTTAACGTTGCTTTGGACGGCTTACGAGATTCCCATTTGTTGTTGTTTGGTAAGAAGCCACCTTTTTCTTAGAATATCTGGAGCTACGAAGAAGCACGGTTTCTCGGGTTTCTCCTTGCTTCTTGATCCTTTTTAAGTTTGTCATAGAATCTAGACATATCTTTTTTATATGCATCAGTTACTTCTTCCTTCTCTTCAGATATTATTTTGGGAATAGCCCTTAGTTTCACGGTGGCTTTCTTTGCCGGCGAAGGCTGGTTCTTCGTTTGCGGGGCTGGCCTCTTGCTAGTACTTGGCTTCTTGGTAGGCGGGGGCGGGGGAGGCGTTGGAGATCTCCTTGGAGGTGGTGGCAGCGGCGTTGGAGACCTCCTTGGAGGTGGCGGCTGCGGCGTTGGAGACCTCCTTGGAGATGGTGTGGATGTAGCCTCACCTTCCAACACATTGTCATCGTACAGAGCACTATGATGATTTGGCGATTGAATAATTCCAACACATGAAACCGTCGCGTTTGTTTGCCTCGGCCGCATGTAACAAAGAATGCACGCCGTCAATGAACTCTTGGGAGCGGCGATCAGCATTGTACATCCAATGCCGGCTCATCTGCATTACATGATATAAATATCATATTAAAACCTAGATCATAATTAATTATTTATACAACATGCGTGCCACCACAAAAAGGTACAAATTTATGAAAGCATCGCTACAATGTAGACAATCCCAACTACCACTAAAAGAACTAAAGCTAAAATACATTTCAGGAGCACAAGGATTTCGCAACCAATCTCAACTAAAACAGACAGATCCCCCGATTGTGCAACATCATTGGGCTTCTTCGGCTAGATCACTGCCTCATTAGCCGCCGTATCTGCCTGTTGTGCAAGATATTTTTGCACGAGTTCAACATACTCTTCCTCTCAGTAGAAGCCTAAACATCGTCCACTGCCATCCCACTGAAATTAAAACAAAAAATTAGAACTTTAATCACAACCATCATGAAAATAGGTATAAACTAACCATAATCATAAAATACGATAAAATAACTCACATTGCGATCCGGACACTTGTAGAAGATACGACCCTTGTTGGGACCCTCCTTCTTCACTCGGTACTCCATCACAATCTTCATCTCATCACGACACTTGCCGCATGGAATGAGAGGGAGGCCCGGCCTAAGTCGCTTTGGAAACCCATGAGAGGCCGAGGACCCGGAAGCAGTTGCCATCTACTCTCTATATTCATTTTTTAATACACTATAAATTTCTCATTTTATAAACAAATAAAATTAAGAAACTATAAAATTATCTATATCTCTAAACAATGAAGTGTGCTATGCATGCTAGAAATAAAAAGTGAATACTAAT